TTGGTTTTTTTTTTTTTTTGGAGACAGTGTCTCACTCTGTCACCCTGCTGGAGTGCAGTGGCACGATCATGGCTAATTGTAGCCTTGACCTCCTGGGTCCAAGCAATCCTCCCATCTCAGCCTCCCAAGCAGCTGGGACTACAAGCATGTCACCACACCCACTAACTTTTTTATTTTTTGTAGAGATGGGGTGTCACCATGTTGCCCAGGCTGGTCTCAAATTTCTGGGCTCAAGTTATCCTCCCACCTTGGCTTCCCAAAGTGTTGGAATTACAGGTGTGAGTCACCACACCCAGCCCAGGTTGTTTTTTTCCTATTGAGTTGGTAGTTTTCTTCAGTTTTCTTATTGATTTGCAAAAACTCTTCACATATGAGGAATAGTAACTCACTGTCATATATGTTGCAAATATTTCCCCCAGTTTGTTTATTCTCTGAAATTTTCAGTGGTGCATCTGATCCCATGAGGATCCCACTGGGCTTGGGATTACTGCTAACTTTTCAGTGAGCTCACCCGCTGTTTGGTGGGAAAGCCCTAGGGACATAGAGCTATTCATTTGGTGTGAGTCTTTTTGTTTCTGTTGTTCTTTGCTTTTCCTGCTTTTTCTTTTTTTCTTTTCTTTCTTTCTTTCTTTCTTTTTTTTTTTTTTTTTGAGAGAAAGCTCACTCTGTCGCCCAGGCTGAAGTGTAGTTGCCTCATCTCAGCTCACTGCAACTTCTGCCTCCAGGGTTCAAGTGATTATCCTGCCTGAGCCTCCCAAGTAGCTGGGATTACAGGCACCTGTCACCACACCCAGGTAATTTTTGTATTTTCAGTAGAGATGGGGTTTCACCACGTTGGCCAGGCTGGTCTTGAACTACTAACTTCAGGTGATCCACCCACCTTGGCCTCCCAAAGTGTTGGGATTACAAGAGTGAGCCACTGCATCCAGCCTTCCCTCTTTTTCTTACTTTTTTTTTTTTTTTTTAAATTTTCTAGCCAACCTTTATTATCTGTGGGACACATTTAGCACTTGTGAATTACTCCCAGCTGATACTTTTTGGTCTTTCCCCTTGCTAGGAGGAGGAAATAGTAAATTCCCTTTTATGATGCACTGTCTTGCCCCTACCTTCTTGTTTTCAGATCAGTTCTCTGAGACACTTATAAGTCTATTTTTCAGCTTCTACTGTTCTCTAAGTTTGGGGCATGTGTCTACTGCTAGATCATTATTATTTGCTGGATTTAGTTCATTTTGGTCAGTTTGGGGAGAGAGGGAGAAGAGCTTCTTTGAACCTGTATCTAGGCTAACTTCTTCCTCAGAAAGCTATTCTTTATTTTGTGTGTTTTTCTAGAAAGAACATTCTACTTCTTGGGTCCCCTGGAGGCCACTCTTTCTCAGGGGTGTAGTTTAAAGTGGGCCAGCAGCATGGGAGAGGCAATGTGAGTAAAAATGTACACTTAGGCCACAATGAAAGAAATCTTGATTTCCTCTCCCCGCAAAAAAATTTCCATGGAAGATTTGGTGCCCTTGATGGTATAGGGCCTGCGGGAATACGTAACATTTACACGTTCGAGTTATATTTCTCTCACATAATTAATAGCCATTTATTTTATTCAAATATGCTCCTAAAGTACATCTAGGAGAGTAAATATGCTTCTTTTATTATATAACATTTTCAGCTCTAATAATCGTTATTATGTTAACACACATATGATGTGATGAACCACGAGCAGGCAGTGGGTGATAAAGCTAACCTTGCCCATTGCCAGTGTTTCCCAAACTTTCATGTTTTTAAGAATCATCTGGGAGCTGTTAATGCAGTTTCATTGGCCCCACCCCACACATCCTGGTTCAGTAAAGGTAGAGCCCAGGAATGTGCCTTTTTTTTTTTTCTTTTTTTGTTTGAGACACAGCCTCTCTCTGTCGCCCAGGCTGGAGTGCAGTGGCGTAATCTCAGCTCACTGCAACCTCTGCTGCCCGGGTTCAAGCGATTCTCCTGCCTCAGCCTCCCGAGTAGCTGGGATTACAGGCGCCTGCCACCGCGCCTGGCTAATTTTTAGATTTTTAGTAGAGATGGGGTTTCACCATCTTGGCCAGGCTGGTCTTGAACTCCTGACCTTGTGATCCACCCGCCTTGGCCTCCCAAAGTGCTGGGATCACAGGCGTGAGCCACTGCACCCGGCCGGATTCTGCCTTTTTAACAAGCACCAAGGTGGCCTTACTATCTGTGGTCTTTAGTACTGGCTTTGAAAAATTCTGGGGCAAGATATCTCAACCTCAGCATTACTGACATTTAGGGCTCAATAATTCTTTGTTGGTGGGGCGCTGTCCTGTAGAGGCTGGTAGCAACCCCACTAATCGTGACCATAAGAAATGTCTCTAGACATTGCCAAAATGTCCCCTGGGGAGTTCAATCACCCTCAATTGGGAACCACTGGCCTAGGAGAAAATAAATGAGAAAATGTTAATTAAAAACAGTGTTTACTTTTGCATGCAGCCATTCATACTCTTGCATGGATTTCATTGAACAAATTAAACAACTATTTCTGAGCATCTGGTATGTACCAAGCCTTTTATATTAAAAATATTTAATCATGGCTACCTCTTTAATAATTTGGAAGATGGAAGAAAACAAATGTTCTTATAAATTAGTATCTATTGAGCATATATTTTCCTAAATTAGTATTCCTAATAGGTTTTGAATAATATTCTAGAACTTTAAAATTAATATTAACAAAGCATTGACATTGCTTTAGTAAAGAAGCAATTCAGAATAAAGCTGGTATCTTTTTGTTGTTGTTGTTGTTTTTGAGATGCAGTTTGCTCTTGTTGCCCAGGCTGGAGTGCAATGGCACGATCTTGGCTCACTGCAACCTCCTCCTCCCAGGTTCAAACGATTCTCCTGCCTCAGCCTCCCGAGAAGCTGGGATTGAAGGCATGTGCCACCACGCCCGGCTAATTTTGTATTTTTAGTAGAGACGGGGTTTCTCCATGTTGGTCAGGCTGGTCGCGAACTCCCGACCTCAGGTGATCCGCCCGCCTCGGCCTCCCAAAGTGCTGGGATTACAGGCATGAGCCACCATGCCCGGCCTTGCTTTACTCTTCGTAATAATGAAACTAATTTTGTTTGTAAATTTTACACTTATTCAAATTTAGGAAAATATGAGAAGAGAATGATGAAGTACCTGCCGTGATACTGTTTACAACATCTCACATCTGATGTAATTCTAAAATTCTTCCTTAGAGAGTCTATGGTCCATATAAATAAACAACTGTGATACCCAAGCACACTCATTTTAATGTGAGTTTTTCACATGATATTAAAATGTTAAAAATAGATCAGTATCTAGGGCACCCAAGCATTTAATTCCTTAAATCGGAGACATGAGGAGAAAAAAATGAAAAGGAAGGAAGAAAATAAGGAAAAGGAAGGAAGGAAGACAAAGTTGAGTCAAGGCTGAAGCTCTGTCATCTCTGAGCACTGGTTAGTAAATTCTGTTGAAATTCAACAGTATAAGAGACAAACAGGCGAAAAGGATGGTGAAATCATTTCCAAATATCGAGAAAAAGGAGCCTCTTGACATTCAGGAACCCTGAGAACAGCTGATGTCCCATTGTAGACTTCGTCCTCTTGGATGAAAGTGTGAATAGAGCTCAAGGCAGGGAAGAAGCCTTTTCTCTGGAGGTGCTATTTATGGTGCCCTTAGCCTGGATGGGCTTTCAGGGTAGTTCCCAAGGATATCATTTCTTTGTATTGGAAATCAGGGACCTCAGTGGGTTAGGAAAGTAGAATCAGTCCATAGCTATTGTCTTTCCCTGCTGTTTGACATGTAAAATTGACTCCCAGAAGAGCAACCCAGGGCCTTGTCAAGGGGTGGGGAAAACAGCAGACTGCCCTAGGGTGGAAATCTAACTGAGAGTGCAAGGGCGACTTGCAAAGCTGGGGAGAGAGAATTGCTGGAAAAATCATGCCTAGGGCAAAGCTGAATTCAAGAAATCTGACTTTTGTGATCTTCCTCGGCTGAGAACGAACGCCGCCACCTACAGCAGAGTAAGTCCACAGCTTGCTTTTGAAAAGTGTTGCTCTCTAGGTAGGCTGTTTGTGTGTGCGTGTCCTCTCTGAGGATTTCCAGACGGTTCATTTTCAAAGGGTCATTAGCATTATTTAAATATTCATGTGGGGGAGGGGATGAGAGACTGAAATTTCAGACATCTCAAGAGTGAGGGATGGCTGGCCACCCGCCTAATACAGCCCCAGTCTGTGGATCCGCTGCCTCCTTCCCCCTCGGCTGGCTTTGTTAGCACACGCGCTCTGACACCGGGCCACCGGCTGCCACTACACGGAGGGCAGCAGGAAGGCTCTGGCGAGCCAGTGAGTTGGAAGCATCTCTGTCCACACCTCAGCCTCTGAACCCCATCGGGGGAGTCCCCAAACACGCGGCGACACCATTACTGCCACAAAGACGCACTTCGCAACCAGTTTCGGGGTCGCTCTGACCCTAAGGGCAGTCGTGGTGCTAGGTAAGGGACAAGGGGCTCTCTCCCCGCCTGAGTGGGAACTCAGTAGCTCCTGGCATTTAGTGCACACAGGCACTCAAACACTTCCACATACGCTCATGCGCACATATGTGTACACCAACACACACGTCCACGTGTACACACAGCGACACGCCACCCCGCCCCAAAGCCCCGTGCGCTAACAAGTGTCCACATACCCAGACACAGCGCTCCCCTGAGTTAGGAAATACTCAGCTTTGCGCGCCTCATCCATCCCTCCGTCTTTCCCTCCCTCCAGTCTCTCTATTCATTCATTTCTTGGTTTGTGCATAGATTCCGCCGAAGTCGCTGAGAGGAGAAGATGTGGGTGGATGGGGAGGAGAGGGGAGGGGAGGAGAGAGGAGGGCGGCCCCTGAGCTGGGCGACTGGAGGGGAAGCGAGGGGGCGGGGAAGGGGCGGGCCCCGGGAGTAGGCGGGCGGGGCTCCCCGCCCTCCAGCGCGCCCTGAGGCCGCCACTCCCTGCAGATGCGCTGGCCCCAGCCCGGGGCTGCCGCTCGCCTTCCCCCGGAGTCTCCTGGACCCCTGGAGCGGGAGGCAGCGGCCGCGCGGCGCTGGAGCAGAGCCCCAGGACTGCGCCTCCGGGAGCCGGAGCCCAGAGGTGGGTGTCCAAGCTGGGGCGGGGCTGGAGTGTCCTTGGGTGTGAGGAAGGGGTGGTCGAGGAAGGGCTGGAGATCTGGGAGTCCTCGGAAGCACCGCGGGCTTTTAAAGGGCTTTTTGTGGCCCTTGTCGAGCGGAGCGTGTGCTGGGAGAGGGCCCGGGTGGAGGGGCTGTGGCCATGTGGATTTGAATTCCTAGGTTTGTGGGAGGGCCAAGCCTTTGGCTACTTTGTTCAATGCTTATCGCTTATATATGCTTTAAAAAATAAACGCAGGACTCCGCTTCCCCCTGCATACACACAGAGCTGGGCTGTGTGTGTCCTTTTCAGGAAAAGCAGTGAAATCAAATGTGGTCGTGGCCGCGTCTCCTGCCCCGGGAGCACTGGGAGGTGCAGCCGTTCCTTCTAGCTCGCAAGGAAGGCGTGGGTCCTGCCTTTTGGGTGGCAGAGCCGGGGGCATTTTCGCAAGTGCTAAACTTTTCAGAGAGACTGAAGTCAGGAAGGACCCGGCCCCGGCCCCAGCCGGAGTCTTTCGGAATAAGGTCCAGGGAGCTGAACTCGGGAGATGATGCAGGAGGAGCCAGCAGCCTCTTCTGCCCTGGGAGGAAGAACGCGGTCCGGGTCCGAGCTGAGCCAGTTCGACCTGAGGCTAGGACCTCAGCAGTTAGAATGTGGTATCTTATCCGGGATAAAGCCGGAGTTTGCGTCTCTGTGGGCCCTTCTTGGGGACACTCTGGGGTATGGGAGGAGCAGACCGTGGGGGAGAGTATTGGATAAGCCGTGCCTGAAATGTCCGTAGAGGCGCGCCCGCAAGGGCCAGAGCAAGGAGACACTGGTGGCCCCGAGAAACCCCAGAGAAACGGAGTGGACGGGAGGGGAGTAAAACGGAGCCCGGGAGAGCCGGAATCCCGCAGCAGGGAGCTGTGGCGCTGGTAGCCGGGTGAGGACTGAAGGCAAAGGGCGAGACGGCGTGCAGCCGGGCTGCCGAGCTCTCCAACCCGGATGCCAGGCGCTCACCAGCCCGAGGGATCCCTCCCGACCCACAAAGAGGGCGTCTGGGAGGTGACTTGTTTAGAGAGATGGTGGATTCCCCCTCCAGACCCAGGAAAGCCAGTTTCCCGTGTAGGGTAGCAGGGGTTTGACTCTGATAGGCTGCGTGGTCAGATCAGACTTTGACATATCATTACCCTTCCCTGTAGCAGTTTTACATGCAGCGCAGGTGATTTGGGAAGACTTCCTAAATGTATAATATTTCTCTTTGAAAAGAAACTTCACCTACTCATAAGTCTATACGCCTCTCTCTGTACTGCATCTTGGAATCTGTGAACAAGCCCGTGTCTCCCAGGAAGCGCTCTTCTATCTCAATTCGCGTTTCACAGGCTCCTGGAGACTGCATGAGTACAAACTCCTCTCACCATTGGGATCCCAGGGAATTTGCTTCCTTGTCTTTTGTTCTGATTAGAGTTCATTTAAGCATCACACTTGTCTTTCTGGAAACGTTCTTAATTTAAATTTAACTAAACTTCTCTTTCTTCCAGTCTGGCAGCTTCCCCAACATTCATGAATAAAATTTCATAATAACATGTCTAGAAATGAGGTGTATCCAGTAAGGAGTTTACTCTGTTTCTTTAAACATAAAGACTTGGCCTAAAGAGTGTTTCAAGCAATGCTCCTCTGCCAGCTGTCTCCTCCCCAGTTTTGATCCTTGGACCTTTCTTTTTCTTTCTTTCTTTCTTTTTTCTTTTTTTGAGACGAAATTTCACTCTTGTTGCCCAGGCTGGATGCAATAACGTGATCTCAGCTCACTGCAACCTCCCCTTCCTGGGTTCCAGCGATTCTCCTGCCTCAGCCTCCCAGGTTCCTGGGATTACAGGCTCCCACCACCACACCCAGCTAATTTTTGTATTTTTAGTAGAGATGGGGTTTCGCCATGTTGGCCAGGCTGGTCTCCAACTCTTGACCTTAGGTAATTCACCTGCCTCGGCCTCCCAAAGTGCTGGGATTACAAGCATGAGCCACCACACCCAGCCTGGCCCTTTCCTTAAAGGACATCTTCTCCTTTGAGTGGAGGCACACCAAGTTTCCTGCAATTATCTTGGACAGCACCAACAAAATAGTCCTGGGCCAGGGACAACAAAAGTAATGCTGCCTGTCTCCCAGTCCTTTACTTAACAGACTCTGCTGGAGAGTTCATTTCACTTTCTTTTTTGGGATGCTGAGGTGCTAGGATGAGAGGAATAGCTGGGCTTTGAGATGGGACAAACATTTTGAAATACTCATTATCTCATAGTTTTGGCATGACAGTTGGCACCACTT